GTTAATTGAAAACACAAACAATATTTAAAATTATCTAACTGTAATCATATATTAGCTCTTCTAAAAGAAACTCAATTGGACACCAGACACCAAAAAGCAGCTCAATTTCGTAAGCCACACGTGTACGCATTGTGGACCTATTTTTTAAAGACGCTAATGAAAATATGGAAATATTTCCATTCGTGTCATTTGTCCTCCGTGAACCGAGTTACACTTGTGTAAAGAAAATAATTATTGATCGCACCCAGCTTCATTTCTATAGAAGTGGTTGTATAATCCACTTTTTAATTAAATATGGCGTCACAAATTCTCTTCAAACTCCAACCATTCCGTTAGAAGGAATAAACTATGCAGTGATCGGTGCAAATGCTAAAATTACATCTTGTAGTGAAAATTATTTGACTATAGTAGCTTTAAACGGTATTACTTTACAGAATGTAATAGATCCTTTAAGATTTTATGAATTTTAAGATCAAAACGGAAATTTTTTCTCTCGATAATTCAAAATGTTTCATAAAATTCATAGATCTCTAACTCGGGATCTTTTCGCCCGAAGGGATAAATGCCAATACGTCCATTTACCGTGGAAGAATTCTCGTCGCTAATTTTATTCCAAGAACGTTCGCAGATATGATGGGAATTTTCCCTCGTTTTCTTTTCTTCATGAATGGTTTCCACGATAGCGGATTGTTCGGCCACCATGTGTGTTTGTGAAATTGCATGTTTGGTAACGCTGTTTCCCTGCACGTTTGCATACAAGTCATCATTCGGTGAGACCAGTTGGTCTCCATGTTCTTGCGCATTTTCAGCCCTCTTGACTTTGGAATGCCCTGCTCTGTATCTTTCTTTTGTGGGATTCAAACAAACCACAGCAGCTTTCTCTTTACGTTTAGAGCTCGTTTCTTTAGGGATTGCTTCCATGTTTTGATATAAGGAAGTGTGTTGTTGATTTACTCGAGGCCCCAGATTGACATATTGCAAATCAGGTGCATCCTCCAATAGGGAAGCCTTGCCGTCAGTTAAATGGATTGCACTGCTGTCATTTACTTCAGAATTTTGCTTAACCTTTTTAACTTGCTGATAAAAATATCCTGTACTGGTGAGAAATCCTTTCTGGCTTTCCGCGGAATCGGTTACACTAGTGTCGCTTTCCTCGTTGCTCTTAATAGAGCTCAGATCTACAGGACATAATTAACCAGCATGGTCGTTGTTGGGTGCTTTTTGTGGCTCAGGGACTGGTACAAGCTGTGGAGTTTCTTCCACTGTAAGACAGCTAATAAAGGCTGATGGGTATTGTGAGATATCATTCGTGACTGGCATTTCTGAGGTTCCGTCTGCTTTTGAGTAGTCATCTTTGCCACCAGCCAGACCAGAAGTATTGCAAACGTACTTGTATTCGTGCTCGGAGAAGAAGTCAGGTGAGCACATCTTATCTATGACATCGTCAGAGGGGTGTTGCTCTAAACTTGTTACATGGAAAGCATCTTCCGGTTGACAGACGGACAAATCTGGCCATTCACTTTTGTCATGATTTTTCAGCCATAATTTCATAATCCAGGACTTCATTGGCTCCCTAATGTAAAGTAAGTTATTGAATTGATCATTTCTAGGACTGATATCACTTAATTTCTGAATGCATCAAATGTATTACTTTCTATAAGAAATGGCAATTTCTCATAACAATGCCGGTGAAAATAGTAATTACGAAAATGCGCATCGGTCGTCTTTTTTTAAACAAAATATTGGACGAAATAAGATAATGTAACTCCCAAACAAGAGAGTTACTAGAATACATGTAGAAAAATACCTGCTGGTAAGGCAGTCAAAGATGGCCAAAAAGGGAGGTCGCTGCTGTGGGAAATATGCCCAACACTGATGCATTAGGATATACACCCATTCGGGACAGTCGTCTGGTTTAGCTAGCGGTCCATTGTCCCTTATGTGAGGCAATATCTGTAACAGATTTTAAATGTTTAAATCATACTTGTCATTTACAAAAAGTCAGCTAAAAGGAGTTTTTTGCCTGTAAACTTATAGTTGTTGGCCCACTTCTAGCCCCGTTTTTTTCTAATTTTTTGTTTCCTGTTAGTTCTTTGTTGACCTGAACGTCCCACAGCATTTTGCGATACGCCTTTAGTATTTGTCATGTCATAAATTGGAAACAACGAGTTTACCTCTTGATCGTCCAGATCAAAGAAAGGTCGCGAGGAGTCTCGTCCATCTAGTCCAGTTGCGAATGACGTATAAAGCTCCCATGCTAGAATCCCAAATGACCAGACATCACTTGCATGCGTGTAGCGTCCATCCAGGATAACCTCTGGTGCACTCCTTCCAGAAAGAAAACGTCGTTATAAATGTCTTAATAGACTGAGAATGTAGTTTTCAAAACAAGTCAAATGTCAAATATCGTAGCTGACTTCCGCACAGGTTGTCGAAACGTCAGTCATTACCACCGACAACAGTCCTTCTCAGGACTACACTCACCCGGACGATCAGACTACACCTTCACATGTTACCCCTGGGTTCTAGCCATTTACTGCACTAATCATGTAATTTACCATCGAAAAATGATGCCTTCTTCTAAACTTTTAAGTTTAAATCTAAGAACACTAAGTTTCCTTATGAAAGCGTCCAAACCTCTCTAAACCGGAAATACGACACAGTCGTGATTGACAAAGCTGATTTCCATTTCAGTTGAATTGAAATGAATTTGACTAGATTTTTCATGTTATCTACACAACGTCATGAATGCTTTGAGAATACCTGATTAGGCAGTTAATAACATACAGGGAAAAATTACTGAATGCTGATTGGTCAACGAAGAGGGTATTTTTTTCTTAATTTTGCTTGTAAAATTACTTGCTCACGATTGTCTCTCAGGTTGTTTGAAAAAGCACTAACGTTGTATTTTCAAACTTGAAAGTTTGTTAGCAGGCCTGGTTTTCAATGTCCTGGTATGTTTGTGCAAGAATAAAATTTCATTCAGCTTCTTCGCGCGTTTGTGTTGATTGATTCTTTGTCAACATTAAATGGCTTCCTGTGACTTTAGAAATTCAGTATTTTTACCCTCTAGTCATTAACAAGTAATCACAATGGGTCCTCGTAAAATTAAGGATTAATATCACTTGTATTTTCAGAAGTTGCTGAAATTGCCCGAGTCGAGCAACTCCTGAAAACACGCGTGATATTAATCCCTTATTTTACCCAGCCCCATGCGATTACCTATACTTATGAAGACACGATTTTTTCCCCCATTAGGTTGAATTCCAAATTTCAAAGTATGTCATCGCTTAAGTATTGCTTTTCCGCTCAAGGGTTAAAGCCATTAAACATAAAACAGGACCTCTAATTCGGGATCCTTTAACCAAACTGGAAGGGAAGAATTACTTCCATTTTTCTCAGCACCATCCTTTTCGCGAACTGCATTCCACGAATGTTCGTCTGTCTGACGGAAATTTTGCTCCGCTTCCTTTTCTTTATGTATAGTTTCCATGTGAGACTGTTCACCTTCCATGTCGGAGGGTGGCAAGGCATGCGTCGTAACACTGCTAGCCTCCACGTTTGCATACAACTGATGATTCAAGGGAACCAGCTGGTCCTTTAATAAGTGCGGATTTTTCGTCTTCTTGACTTTGCAATAAACTGCTCCATTCATGTCTTCTGTTGGTTTCTCACAAGCCGCCGCGGCCTTCTTCGCATCTTCTTCGAGTTCACAGCTCCCCTCTTTGAGAACTAATTTAATGTTTTGATAAAAGGCAGTGTGATGTTGATCTGGCTGTGGCCTCAGATTGACGTAATTGTCCTCCATCA